TCTTATAGTACTACACATCCTTCGGGCATTCACGACGGGACAATGATGAAGATACTAACATGTCTCTGAGTGACCAATCGGACTGGAACAGAACCCGCACATCATTACTAAAGGATCTGACTGTACGGCGAACATCAAGCACCAAGCGATCATTGACAAATGGCAGTTCGATGGTGGATGTGTTACTGTACGATTGTTGTCGTTGTAGGGAGATGATCGTGGTGTGCTTGCACTATTCAGAACATGCAGTGGCCGCACTTGAACGCGCCAGCATTTTCCGTTTCTTAAACCTGGTGACAGTCTTTTTTGGCCAGCTACAACATTTTAAGTGATCTTTGTAAAAAAAACACAAAAAAACAAAATATACATACACAGTATAACATGGTGTAAGCGACCTCTGGGTTTAGCGACCACCTGCCTGCAACGGCCGATTTTCCATGCACCGACAGTTCTAGACAGACACTGTGGGACCTGGTTCTAAAGACCACCTGGCTTTAACGACCGCTTTTGCATGCACCGTGGGGTGGTCGCTTAAACCAGGTTTTACTGTAAAGTTAAACCTGTCAAGGAGACCACTTGGAAAAGGCGACCAACTGTCCAAGGGGACCACTACCACCAGGACCAAGGGTTGTCAATTTCAGTCAAATGATCCTGTACACAGCTACCGCATTTTGAAGGTCTCTTGAGCGGTCACCTTACACAGGTCTCACAGTATCTTACTCAAAAAGCCTGATTGCAAGAGTTGCGCCAGGTACATGTGTACCCGATTGGCTTGAAATTCTAGAGCAGACAATTTTCAGATAACACCGGCCTTATACCACTCAATCAATGCGATGCTATTCTTCCAGGCATTTGGTGCTGCATGGCAGAAACGGCCTTATTCTCGTAGATATGCAAAAGACGTTACTTCAGTAACGTCTGGCGCTGGCCAGGGTCCACACAGCTTTAATTCCGTGTGTGTTTGTATGTTTGTGCCGTCGGCATACCTGGCGGTATCCCGTACCTGTAACGCACCATCAAAGACAGCTGGCCACAACATCCAAATAGGGCTTTCAAATGCAAAATCATAACGTGAAGCAACTTGGAAGAATGAGTATGTATGCGAAGTGTATCGGGGGAATGCATGCAGGGTCATCAAGGTGGTAGACGGTGTCGTATTATCCTCGAATGCAAAGAGAAACTTTGTTTCTTTCCCTCAGGGCCCTATGCTAAGCTTTTTTGCCTAGCTCATCATGCACGTTATTCGAACAAATGGAAACGTTTTGCAATACAGGTACAATGATGTCACCGATCAGTTCGTTGTGGTATGGTTGGGTATTGTAGCCGTCATGGTGGACGTAAAACACGATTTACATTCACAAGCTCGGGGAGCAAAAGTCTCTCTGTCCCATAAGCTGCCACATACTAGTACCAGCTAAATACAAAACCATGCACTTCACACGAGCTGACTTGCACGCGTGGTCCTTTTCACGAACCCAGACAAAGGGATTGGTCTATTATAACGCATGTACGAAGTCACTAGATTACACCCGCACCACAGATGAAGGCCAAATGTGTTGCCGAAGAATGACAAACGGAAAATTTGCCTGGCGCTATCCCGTACCTGTCCTGTACCGTACCATCAAAGACAGTTGGCCACAATATTCAAATAGGGCTTTCAAATGCAAGACCTTGACGTGAAGCAACTTGGAAGAATGAAGTGTATCGGGGGAATGCATGCAGGGCGATAGTGCGGGTTCGAATCCCAGGTAATGTCTTGAAAAAATAGGAGAAATGAAAAATTAATAACATCCCTATGATTTTTTTGCAAGTTGGTCATCAAGGTGGTAGACGGTGATGAGCTAGGCAAAAAAAGCATAGCGCAGGCCCTGAGCTTCCAAGCTCTCTCATTTCAGTATAACCTTGCAGTCCACACCCACTTTAGACTTGGCTGGGTCTGCAGGGCAACGCTCTAGCAAAGTTGTCCTTATGGTCTTTGAGTGTTAGAAACTTCTGACTCATTGAGTATGTCCATTCTGTTGCCAATACCTAGATTATCAGCAATCCCGTTCCTCACTGTTGCCTACATCGCAGGAAAGCTCTGGTGATATTTACGGAGGTTTAGTTGATAACTTGCACTAGCTGTATGGAACGTTTTCATTCAAAACTGAAGCACTTGAGTAACTTGAGCTAAAAAAAGTTAGGTCACACCTACCGGGGATCAAAAGTAGGGAGGGAGGAGGGCCTTTCGGTTACTGGCCGACTGCTCTATCACTAAGATATAGGCACCATACAACCTCTGCATGTGTCCAATATCAGGTACTCAGTACTGTATTCTTCAAGCTGTAAATACTGGAAATGTTTTCACATATGTACTATACCTCTGAATACACTGTACTGCAGAGTATGTGTCCATGTTCTGATGAGGGGGGGGTATGGCAGGTCGTGTACTTTCAAAGGAAGTTCAGCGGTTGCTAAGAGACATGATTCACGTGACACAATATATCCCCGGTAGGCTTTCCCCAAATCAAGTTTTTTCGCCTATTCGGCTTTTCGCTAGGCTCAAAAATACCTCAGATTCGGCTGCAAGTCAGCTGATTGTTCAAAAATCAGCTGCAAAATTGGAATAATTGAATTGGAAAATTGGCTAAAAGAATTGTTGGCATATTGGCTTCAAAATTGCACTTTGCAACAACATTTGGTACTTCAAAGTAGATTTTTCGGCGATTCTCAAAGCAATCCTCCAAAATCGGCGAAAAGAAAAGCGATTTTTCGATACAATTTAATGTAGAAAGGAAAAGGACATATTGAAACGAGTAACTCTCCACCACTATAACTAGATACTTTACACAGTCAGAAAGTGCACCAACTTCCATATATCCTTTTCCATTCTACATTTGAGCCGTCAGATGCGAAAAGGGTGCTTATGGCAGCACAGAGCAAATAGAGTAAAGTGCGTCAGGCTGTCAAGTACCTGTCACATGCATGAGTGAATCTTGATGTGACGTCATTTTTTCGATCGTTGCGGGATATGGATGATGTGTGAGTGTGCATCCCCGGCCCGGCGCTGGTATGTACACTAGCGCACTGCTGAGATTCCCAGCTTTTCGTAGATACTTCAACCGGCCTGAAACTCCAAAGCACGGCGGATTTACATACAAAAGAAACTGCCTTTTTTGTGGCGCCGTTCTCACGAGCTCCGTTCTGATTCTGTACGAAATTCTTTTGTCTCCTGACCTAAATTGACGATATCTTCATGATGGGGTTGGATTTTTGAGTCCGGTTTTTTGGAGGTGAAGCATAAAAGCGTATAGAGTTTGCTTGAGTCCTTATCTCAATTTGACCAAAATATGCCATAAGCACCCTTTTCGCATCTGACGGCTCATTTATTATTGGCTCAAAACCCGAGTTTCAGATTTTCCATAAGGCTTATTTTCAGCGAATGTGTTGGACATCGGAAGCTCAACAGTGCAAGACGCCCGATTTGGGGAACGCCTATCGAGCGGTCATGCTTGCAGCAACATCATTCGTTCGTAAACGCACTTTGGAACAACATTTTCGGCGATTCTCAACGTCAGGCGAAATAGCACGTCATAGTACATTTGAGATCAGCGGGAAGAAGATGACGACGTCCACTAATTTAGTATCTGTGCACACGAATCTGCTGTGTGTGTGACTCTGTGTGTCAGCTATGATATCATCTTCTGTGGTTCCATGCCTAGCATGTACGTCTGAACCATCCTGCAAAGTTTGAATGACGTAGGTTGAGCGATCGCTCCGCGAAACATACTTTTTGAAATTCTCTTCATTGCATATCTTCCACCATTGAAATTTCGAATTTCTTCAAAAAAGGTGCTGAGAGGGGTGGCTTGCAACCTCGATATGGCTTGTTCCAGGCATGCTTTGGAGCCATCTTCTGTTGAAGTAGTGGCGGGGATCTGCCCTGCAACTGCTACAACAAAAAATGATTCGATCAGAGAAAGGGTGAGACCGCGAATCTCGGTTGAATATTGAGTATTTCAAGCCTTTTCACGACGAAGATGGAGTTCTTTTTGGAGATGGACGTCGCGGCAAAGGACATGGTGTCCGACTTCTGGCGTCTGGTGAAGCCAGGGATCATTTGTCCAGTCAGGTCGGCAGCCTAACCGTTGGTAAGCTTGTGTTTGGATCCCGTTCTGCTCGATGTGGTAGATCACAAACAATTTGATATCGCACAAATTGATCTCAGCATCGTGCGTACGTTATTTTATATTCAGAAAATCCCAAAGTGTCTCTGTGTGGCCGTCCTATGCCACGAGAAAATCCAATCAGGCTCCTATGTCCTCTGCCTTCATGATTGAATGTCCACTTCGTTTGAACAACGAACACAACAATCGAGGACGGCTTTGCAATGAAAAATACAGCTATACTGGAGCTGAAAAAAAGAAGAAAAAAACGTGCTCAGGATGAGACTCGAGTACACGCATACTCTCCCAGCAGGTGAAACGCAATTTTTTGTGAAAAATGCGTGTCGCCGACTGACCAGTAATTTCGCCTGACGAGTAACCCTCCAAAATCGGGGAAAAGCTTACCGATTTGGGGGAAGCGTAATCCTCACGCATGTTTTCTCTCACAAACCACTCACCCGCAAACTTGACTTGACAGCATTTAGTTCTTGTCTTAGGTTGGCAGAATTTCTGTCTGAGCTCTGTTGAAGAATAGCCGCCCAAAGACCAATACAACACACAACAATCATCAGATACACGAAACATAGATCATCATGCTTTGCTATGAGTCTAATTACACAAGTTGATCATATTCAATAATTGAGCCAGACATCGGCAGTAAAACGGGCACGTGTCACTTCAGTCATTGAGAACAATCAGCATCCCATATACAGTTCTCGAAGTATTACAAAGGCAGTACTGGAAGGATTATATGTATCTGGTTATCAGCATCAGAATTCTGGCACTTCGAACAGCAAGCTAGAGGTTACTCTGCTGTTTCTTTTACTGAATCTTTTTATCTGTCCCTTAACTTACCTCAAACTTGGTTTGAAGCTGGCCCAAAGTTTGTTGCAGGCTCGCAGCTCTTGTATTTGAGCTCTGAAATGATCAAAGTCGATAGGTTACCACTCAATCATTATACGATTAGAGTTTCTCGCGAATATAGTATTCCCTGAGAAAGGGGAGAGGTGTGTTCAAACCAGAACTAACCAATAACTTGCGTACATTACGGTAGCTTGAATAGTGCATTGCTACGTCCCTGAGGCTGCCACGACAACCAATCCCTATGTGCACATGCGTAATTTCTCTCTCTCTTTCCCGAAACTAGAGCAAGGGTGTATCATTGTTGTACATGCATTACATCCCCCTAACCCCTCACCTCACCTCCCCTCCCCTCCCCTCCCCTCCCCTCACCCTCGCAGACTGTTTGTCTGTCAACTGACTTACCTCAAACTTAGTTTGCAGCTGGCCCAATGCTTGCTCAAGACGTGCAGCTCTCCCGTCAGAATTCTACATTGAGAGAAACATAAGATTTGCCAACACACGAAATAACTTGCACCTCTTGCAATCGGGCTTTTTGATGATTGGAGTTTGTTGTTTGTTTGTGTGAAATCTGGTTTTGGACGTAGTCGTGGAAGTAAGTTCTCTAAGCTCAGGTGAGTGTTGCACTTTTGCTGTACCGACGGTGCACTGAGCTTTGGCAGGCTCCCATCCTCTCACGGTTCTGTGTAGTGCATTTTGCCACTGGATTCTGATCGAAAGGATGGCAGTGGCAAAATGCATTACACAGAATCGAGAGGGTTTCGGTGCATGCCAATGCAGGGTGCACCGTAGTAAACAGGGATTTTGTACCGTGCCATGGGATAACATGACATAATAACCTAGAGACAGTTTGGGGAGTCTACATGCAGCCTACACAAAGGTCTGGGAGTCTATATAATCTATACACAGGTCTGTGAGTCTCCATACAATCTACTTACGGGTCTGGGAATCTGGGACATACACCCTCACCATGAAGCATTGTGTAACAAGACTCAGAAAGGAATTTAAAAACTATTCTCCATCCTACCCCCTTCTTCAAAGAGCACATTTTAGCAAATTACTGTTTCACCCTGTTGATGGACCATGCCTGAACAATCTGGTGAATTAAAGGTGACCTCTGCAGCAGAGAGATTGTAATTATTATGGATTGAGGAAAAGAGAAAACTACTTTAACAAATGAAAGAGTGATCACAAATCCGTACTCACCTGGACGTATGTGGTATGGTTTTGCTGCATTGCTTCCAATCTCTGATTGAGGTTTCGATTGACGGTGCCTTGGAGACGGGAGAGAAAAGCAGCGACAGCGTCGGACGACTTCTTTTCCGCATTTGCTGAGCTTGTCAGCAGGCTGTTCGTCATGGTGGTAAGTTTGGACAACGATGACGTCATGTTTGCCAGGATGTGTTTGGACAACCATTCTGTCATACAGCCAGCACACAGTGAAAAACAAACCAAGTGTACTTCACGTCAAAAAAACAGAACAACTATACAGCTGATTTTACTCTCCAAAGGGGAGAGACTTTGATGACCAAAGATTGTCATCACGTTCATCAGGACAATTGGAAGAAAAAAACACCGTGACTACCGATGCATTTGAGCAATTATTGCTCCCAGTTGATAGAGTGATAGACAGACAAACAGAGAGAGAGAGACTGAGACAAAGAGGCAGAGACAGATAGATAGAGAGACAGATACAGAGGAACACAGAGAAATGGAGAGAGAGACAGAGGCGGCAGATGAGAGCGGAAAAGAATAGAATAAAAGAGAAGAAGAGAAGTAGCTTGGCAAATATGTCAGTTAGCAACATCAGGCTGCAGCCAGCACTTTTGCTGTCTTGCTGTGCTTTCCATAGTTGTGTTCTCATTCCTATGGAAATGTAGCAAGGTAATCTATGACTCATGCTATCAAGACGGAGGTGTGCTGTTGTGGTAATGAATATTATCATCCATGCCCTAGATACCCAGTGGATGCCAGTAGTATTTAGGCAGGTCATTGACATTATTCACTGTTGAAAGGGGACGAAGAAGACCCTTGCTTCCCATTCAATTGCATACATATTCAAATGATTGTGTTTTGTAGTTTGGGATCTCATTGTCAACAGCCATGGCCAGTTAGCACCATGGCCAGTTAGCACCATGGCCAGTTAGCACCATGGTGGATAACGTTATCATGATACAATAGACATGTGTCCGTACTTACGTCTTTGACAATGTCGTCCTGTGTAGAGTGTGGGACATTGGCATGTGTATCCTTCACTTGTCTCCTGACAAGTACCACCATTCTTACACGGTGATGATGAACAGCTAGGTAACGCTGTGGTTTACAATGTCATGTACATGGGACAAACCAACACAACAACACCGGTTCATAAATACCTCCGTCTCTGAGCCAGACAAGAGGTTAGAGGGAACCCCCTTGATTCAGGCTTCGGCTTTTGGGGAGTCCCTCAAATAATAATAAGGGTTGAGTGGAATTGAAACCAACATGGCTGACTGGTATGCTCCTGTGATAGACGTGAAACCACCCTATTCATCAGTCCCGACTGTTCCAAGACACTGTAAACTGGAGATAATGTTCATCAACACAAGTCTGCAGTAGAGTTGTGCTCGGTGAAATCCGAACCAAAGTGCATATTCGGCTCCTCAACTTGAACACCCTTTGACGTGGTAGGAATGCTGCTGTATTTACACATGCACAAATACACTGATGCAATTGGAACTGGTCCAGGTCGACAGTTTAGCACTTTGGGTCGGATTTCAGTGCGTTCAACTGAACTTACCACTTTGTGTGGGATTTCAGTCAGCTGCACAACTGTACAAATCACTTTGTGTGGGATTTCAGTGAGCTGCTCAACTGTACAAATCACTTTGTGTGGGATTTCAGTGAGCTGCTCAACTGTACTCGTATCACTCACCATGCTGACAAAACCGTCCGCTGACACCCCTAGAGCACACACATCTGTACCCTGGGTACGGTGATCCTGATGAACCAGGTTCCCTACTGTACACACACCGGCCAAGATGCTGGCATGGTGATTGTCGCAGGCACTCTGTATCATCATGGTTACCTTCAAACACAGGAACAGTAAAAATTGATTCACCAAACTTGGATAACTGAATTTTTCTGTTTCCGTGATCAGGATGTGTGTGTGTGTGTGTTTGTGTGTGTGTGTGTGTGTGTGTGTGTGTATGTGTGTGTGGGGGGGGGGGGGTGCAGGGGCGTCACAGACGGTACGACCACTACGACCATGGTTGTACAACTTTTCGTCCAGGATGGTCCACCCAATTCATCCGAAAAAGCAAAAAAATTCAATTTTCTTCGGACTTGTACAAAATATCACAGCTTTCATTGCAAGGAGCATATTTGGTTCAGACTTGATGCCTAGCAGCTAGCTATTGCCCAATACTCCAGCGGCTATATGCGGTTGGAGTTGCGGGTAGAGACAACCAGGCGATGGATTCCTCACGGACGCATTCACTACAAACTTGACGGAAACAGCGCTGGCGGCGATCACTGGGTCCAGAACTATAATTTTGTAAATGGAATAGGGAAGGGCTTCATTCTTCGAAGTTGAAAAGTGTTTGGACTGCTGCTCGACGGCGGCAGAACATTCTGCAGCTGTTCACCGACACGACCAGCTTCACCAAACGACATACGATCGTTTTGTTCTCCGAGTTTTCTGCAGCAACAAGCATCCGCAACGACAGTACAAAAGTCCCTCATAAACAAAAGTCCTGTTGCCACGAAGACAGAGAAGATTCCGCAAGCTCATTCTTCTGCTTCCAGTGTTGTAACTCACCGGTCCACTGGCAGATCTTTCAATCCCACGGAACAAAAAAAAGGATCTTTTTCTCTCTCTAAAACCAAGTAACACTACTTCGCGAGTGCACTAGTGTCCGGGCCAGCCGTGTAGACCTACATAGTGTAGTGTATGTAGCGCGTGCGGGGCACTTTCGTAGGACATGACTTACCGGTACATTTTTTGCACCGCGGCTGGCGCTAGAACGCGCCGCATGCATGCAGCACGCTTGTTATTGTACTGTACTCCGGATTTTGCGATTTTTTCGACGGCAATCCTTTTTGCCTTGGCTGCCTACGATGTACAGAAAATACCAAAAATAATCCATGAGAAGTACCTTTCGGAGCTGGAGTGCGGTTGTCTAAATAAGTGTTAAGTTGTCTAATAAGTGCTTGTAGGGTAACCGTCCTTTGCGGCTGTACTACCTGTAGAGTGCTAAAACGTGCACTGTTGGCCCAAAAATCCGAATTATTTTTTCCCGCGGGACACCCCGGACCCCCGGTCGTACCACTCCCACCCACCCTGTGACACCCCTGGTGTGTGTGTGTGTGTGTGTGTGTGTGTGTGTGTGTGTGTGTGTGTGTGTGTGTGTGCGTGAATGCGTGTAAAACAGAGAGCATGTTTATTCATCTAACAACAGCGTCCTGACATTCCGGCTGTGTCGCATGTTTTGTGGACAATTCGTGGTGGATATAGTGAAAACCGTTATACATCCCTGTATCGTGTGACCCGTACTATTCTTCCTTCTCCATTAGACGTTGAAAACTCTAATGTTATCGAGTTTGATGAGGCCAGGTTTTATAAAACTTGGACACATATACCAGGATAAAATGTATGGGGAAACAGATCCAACACAAAACCTTTCAAATTTGAGTGAGGTTTTGAGCACAAGTTTGGTCCCAATTGTGTTTTCAAAAAACAGTAAGATTATTATAGGTGAATCAGGGGCGTCACACACGGTACGACCACTACGACCATGGTCGTACCACTTTTCGTCCAGTATGGTCCACCCAATTCATCCGAAAAAGCAATAAAAAAAATTCAAGGATCTTCGGACTTGTACAAAACATCGCAACTGTTACTTTCATTGCAAGGAGCATACAGACTTGACGCCTATCACTAGCAGCTAGCTATTGCCCAAGACCCAAGGCGGTTTTTCATTACGATAGGCGGTTGGAGTCACGGGTAGAAACAACCAGACGATGGATTCCTCACGGACGCATTCACTGCAAACTTGACGGAAACAGAGCTGAGCTGG